AATTTTATGCTTTCAGCTACAGTTATTTTGTACATCTTTTTATACTTTTAAAGTAAAGCTATGTTTTTTACATATATATTTTGTAGATCACAAAATGTATTGTAAGTAATTTTACTGTAAAAATGTATTTTTATAACATTGCACTGATTGTCATTTTGCTATAAAAAATGTATTTTTAGTCATTTTATTGTAAAAATGTACTGCTGATTTTTGTTTAGGGGTTCACTCTTTGCCCACATCTGGGACTTAACAGGTGCTACCACCACAGGTCAGTTTAAATGACTCGATATGTAGGTTACTTACATCATGACAATCTCAAAGATATCTCATTTTTATTTCTACACCACAGCGTTTAGCGAAAAACCACGAAAAACGAAAAATCGATTTCAACACAATTTTTAAGCTAAAAACTTCCTCAGTTTTGAAGCAATTTAATACAAACTTAACTCAATTGTCGCCAAGAATAAGTTGATTGTTTAACAGTCATTTAACTTGATAATTGAGTTCACCCATATAGTGAAAACCCGCGTAAGTAAATGACACGATATGTAGGTTACTTACATCATGACGAGCTCATTTTTATTTCTACGCCACTGCGTTTAACGAAAAACCGCGAAAAACGAAAAATCCTTTTCAACACAAATCGATTTCAACACAATTTTTAAACTAAAAACTCCCTCAGATTTTGAAGCAATCTAATACAAACTTAACTCAATTGTCGCCAACAATAATTTGATTGTTTAACAGTCATTTAACTTGATAACTGAGGCCACCCATATAGTGAAAACCCGCGTAAATAGCAAAAAAAGCGATTTTTACTGATTTCTTTCTTATTTTTCGTTGATCTTTCAACCAATTTTCATCAAACTTAACAATTGCTTTATAAATGTATCCTCTTTTACATCCCTTGCAACCTATTGACAAATTGAATTTCAAAACTCCAAAATAATTGTGGCCTGTAGTGGGTCTTCATGTTGCCTGTTTTACCCCTTCATGTCCTCGGCTAACTTCGATTGAATAAATACAGATAACTTCTTTTATATCAGCAACTGCATTAATTCAAAATGTTTTTTTTTAATGAAAGTACTTTGAAAGTAATTAAAGAAGATAGACTCTATTAATCTAAACATGATGCTATTTTTGCTGCATTCTAATTGAACGCTTTTTCTGATCACCCAGCTTGGTATGGCTGATAGTTTAAACTAAATATGCTGTTTGGTGTTTAAAACCATAATCCTCCTTTTGAACTAAAACAAGTTTTTTTACCGAAAAAAACCCTTAATCTTATCCTAAATCATGGGTTTTACGTCTTTAAAGAAAATTATTCACCTCATATTTTTATCATATCATATATTAATTATCAATGAGCATTTATTTATATATTTCCTGTCCCATTTGTATGAGAAGTGAGGTACACGAGCTTAAGTTAGTAAATATATGAGTGGTTATTTCCCTTAACCGTTTGAATGATCTATATAAATAAAATATTTATCTGCATTTAGATAAAATTACTTCCTGAGCAAAATGAACCGTTTAATTGATCAGTTCCTTTAACCCTGATACTGCAGTCTTATTTGTTCAAGCTTTTCATGTGAGACACTCAGATACCTTTTTCTATTAAGTCATCGTCATGCTTCAACTCGGTCATAAAACAGGCTCTGTCATCACTGTTTTTCTCATTCTCTTGCTAATCTTTTTCTCCTGAGAGATATTTCCATTTCACTGTTATTTCATATAACATTTTTAACATGAAAAAGATATTGAGCAAAAAGCGACTTATCTCTATCTATAAAAGGCAGGATCTATGTGCGTGTATGTGTAACGAATGCACGGCCGCAATTTTCGACGGATTTGCACCAAAATTTACATGCACATGCTCCAAGTTAGCGAGAAGGCCAAGACCGACTTTCCATTTCCCAACTCCCATCGATAGTGGAAATAATCGATTTTTTCATGGCCAGAGTGAGAACCAATAGCTGGCTGCCACGAATAGACAGGAAGATTCTATTGGCCAGCGTGAGAGCCAACAGCTGACTGACACGAATGTTAACTAGCATGCTGGCATACAAAAAGAATCGATAGCTGCATTCATCACAAGTGGGAAAAATTTACATCTGCATGGCACTTTACTCCAATTGGCTCATTCGTTTGCTGAAACTCAACATTGATTCTGATTCCGAAGAACTGGGTTGGGTGTGAAAAAGAATTTGTTGTTAACATTCTTTTTTCATTCGGTTTTTCCAGTTACGAGTCCTTTTTTTTTAAAGCTGATCGTTTTGTGTTCATTTTGTTTAGTTCTTTTTTCGTAACAGATTTAATGTTTAGTATAGAGCTTAGAAAAAATTCGCAGTGTGAGATAGGCAAGAAGTAAGGCATGTAGCAACATCAGCACGGAAAAGGGCACTCCTTTAAAGGCAAGGCAGGGCAAAAATATTTTAAGTCAAGTGATAGCGATTGCTGTATGAGTCGTACGATTTTTGAATCAAGTCCGAGCAACGCCGGGCCATGCTGCTAGTATAATATCAGGAGTAATCAATGAAACACGGGTACCATAGAACGTCTAAAAGCTATAAAGGGAACAGATTAATTAAATGGTTCATTGGCCTCTATTTTAGTTGTGAATTCTTTATCTCCTCTTTATTTAATCTCGATATATTGCTTCAAAAATTTTGTTTCATTGAATCTATTGAGATTTTCTATCAATTGCCATCGTTTTTTACGGCACTAGTACACTAGTACTAAAATAAATGTTGTGGTGTTTAAACATTTGCCACACTTCACTTTTTCACACTAAATCATGTCTCTAAAGAAATTTTCACCACCATATTTTCGTAAAAAAATAGGGTCATAAGTGTTTAGAAATTTGCCCCGCCTTGCATAATTCATACGAAAGTAAGGACACTAGTGTTTAGAACATGACCCGCATCATATTTTCATGTTAAAACATGGATATTGGTGTTTAAAAATTTAAATATTTAGAAATGTACCCCGCCTAATATCTCTGTACCAAAATAAGTATATTATTATTTAGAAATTTACCCCGCCTCTGATTTTCATTCTAAAATAAGGATTTTAGTGATTAGAATTTTATCCTACTTCATATTTTCAGATGAAAATGTGTACATTAGTGTTTAGAAAATTACCCCGATTTATATTTCCATACGAAATAAGGATATTAGCGTTTTAGAAATTGACCCTGCCTTATATCACAAAAAGAAAATAAGGATATTAGTGTTTAGAAAGCTAACCCTCCTCAGATTGTCATACAAAAAGAAGGGTCTTAGTGATTAGAAATTTACCCCTCCGCATATTTTCGTACCAAAATAAGGATATTAGTGTTTAGAAAGTTACCCCGCCTCGGATTGCCATACAAAAATAAGGGTCTTAGTGATTAGAAATTTACCCCGCCAAGTAATTTTCATTCCAAAATAAGGATATTAGTGTTTTTGAAATTTACCCCGTCTCGGATTTTCATACAAAAATAAGGATCTTAGTGATTAAAAATTTACCCCGCATCATATTTTCATTCCAAAATAAAGATATTAGTGTTTTTGAAATTTACCCCGTCTCGGATTTTCATACAAAAATAAGGATCTTAGTGATTAGAAATTTACCCCGCCTCATATTTTCATACCAAAATAAGAATATAAATGTTTAGAAATCTACCCCACCTCGGATTTCCATATGAAAGTAAGGATCTTAGTGATTAGAAATTTGCCCGCCTCATATTTTCATTCCAAAATAAGGATATTAGTGTTTTTGAAATTTACCCCGTCTCGGATTTTCATACAAAAATGAGGATCTTAGTGATTAGAAATTTACCCCGCCTCATATTTTCATATCAAAATAAGAATATAAATGTTTAGAAATTTACCACGTCACGCACTTTTAGACTAAAAACTAATTTGAATTCTGGAATTTCAATATTCTTAAACTGTCTACTTCTTTTGATTCAAAAATTGACCCTGTTGCATTTTACTTTTAAGAAATACAATCTTGATAATTTATACCGGATACTATTTGAACATCAGAAAATAGATGTTTTTTTTTTTTTTTTATTTGTTTTGTTCCGTTTTTTGGGGGTGGGGGGTTGTTGTTTTTTTTTTTTTTACTAAAGCCACTGAGTTGGTTTAAAAGCAGCATTTTGAGTATTGAAACTTTTCAAAATTGGTTTAGATCGCTAGAATTTTCATATTTATTGAATCGGCGTGAGGCGGTACAAAAGAGCCCTACTCTGATATTTTCAATAACATTCCAAAGATAACAAAGTTAGCGGCAGCTCTTTGATTATTAAGGCATTAAAAAATAATGGAATGAAAGGTGAAGGGGGGGTCATTCTCTTATGACTACTCAATTTACCTAAAACATTGCGTAAGGCCATAGAAATTCAGAGAAAATTCTTTAAAGACAATATGAAGATGCTACGAATTTATATGAATATGGGATTTGGTTAAAAAATGCTAAGAATATTTTCCACTAGCCTAAAGTAATGGGATACGCAGTTGAGCTGAAAGGTGAGTTAAAGTAAACAGAAAGTCTGCATGAATACTATGAAGATCGAATAATGATGCTATGAATTTATATGAAGAAAAGATTTTGTCGAGATAATGCTGGGGAATTTTGCATCCATCTCACAGAGAATTGCATGTTTACCCATGTGCGCATGCGTGAACAAGCATAAAGGTAATATAAAACCTTGCAAATTCAAATTTCACACAAAAATCTAACAATTGCCTCACCTCAAAAAGCACAAGGATTTCTTTGTTCAATTCTTTTCTTTCTTATTGTTGTTTTCCTCTTTTTTGTTTTGTTTTGTTTTCGTTTTTTACTCGCTTCCAAAAATCGATCTAATCCAATTTTATCTCGTAATAAAGTTAGTCAAACCCTTCATTTGTTCTGATAAATATGCTCTAAGGTTCCTTTTCTTTTTCCTTTCTTACAAGAAGATTGTCCCCGGGCACTGTTAGATTAACTTTGAGATTAAGTTACAATGAATTCACTTAAGTAGATAGATAGATAGATAGATAGATAGATAGATAGATAGATAGATAGATCTTAACTAGAAGCAGATTTTATAGATAGTAAGAGCAGATTTTAAAAGATACATGAAGGCATACAACAAAATGCAGGAAGCTGTAGAGAGCCATGATTGTTCACGTCCTGAAGTGACCTGAAGCATATATGAATAGGATTAGCTTAGTCTGGTTCAAGGCCACAAAATATGGGGTAATGAACGACAATCGAACTCGTACGGTAGTCGTTACATTTAGTAAGCGTATACAAAAGAAGCTGTCCATTTTGGTCACTTAGGGACAAGTTCTTTTGGATAAAAGTAATTCTTTTATTTACTATTGACGTAGTTGATCATGGGTCATTTTTATACTTGAATTCACCCAGTGGAAGGCTCGATAGCCACCCAATGTAGAGGATTACTGTTAAAATAGTTGTGAGGAATGATGTGTGGAAAATGAATGAAAAACGAGTAAATAGGAAGCAAGATTATGAAGATAAGGATGATAGATAATGATTGACACTTGTTTTCAAGAGGATAATGGGAGAGTATGTTTGTAGCAGCTGAAAAGCTAAGTGGACTTTCCACTTTACATTTGGGACAAATTTCAGTATTTTGTTGCTCTAAGTGTTTACTCTTTTGCTATCCATCCATGCATATTTTAAGTAGTTTACTCGCTGTTTCACCTATTATTTGCTCCTATTATCTTCAAATTAACTTTTCACCTATTATTTGCTCCTATTATCTTCAAACTAACTTTTCACCTATTATTTGCCCTATTATCTTCAAATTGTCTGACTTTTCACCTATTATTTGCTCCTATTATCTTCAAACTGTCTGATTTTTCACCTATTATTTGACCTATTATCTTCAAACTGTCTGACTTTTCACCTATCATTTGCTCCTATTATCTTCAAACTAACTTTTCACCTATTATTTTCTCCTATTATCTTCAAAGTAACTTTTCACCTATTATTTTCTCCTATTATCTTCAAACTAACTTTTCACCTATTATTTACTCCTATTATCTTCAAACTGTCTGACTTTTCACCTATTATTTGCTCCTGTTATCTTCAAACTGATTTTCCCCTATTTGCTCCTATTATCTTCAAACTGTTTGAGTTTTCACCTATTATTTCCTCCTATTATCTTCAAACTGTCTGATTTTTCACCTATTATTTGCTCCTATTATGTTTAAACTGTCTGATTTTCACCTATTATTTGATCCTATTATCTTCAAACTGTCTGAGTTTTCACCTATTATTTGCTCCTATTATCTTCAAACTAACTTTTCACCTATTATTTGCTCCTATTATCTTCAAACTAACTTTTCACCTATTATTTTCTCCTATTATCTTCAAGTAACTTTTCACCTATTATTTTCTCCTATTATCTTCAAAGTAACTTTTCACCTATTATTTGCTCCTGTTATCTTCAAACTGATTTTCCCCTATTTGCTCCTTTTATCTTCAAACTGTCTGAGTTTTCACCTATTATTTGCTCCTATTATCTTCAAACTAACTTTTCACCTATTATTTGCTCCTATTATCTTCAAACTGATTTTCCCCTGTTTGGTCCTATTATCTTCAAACTGTCTGACTTTTCACCTATTATTTGCTCTTATATTCAAACTCTCTTGTGAATGTCAAATTATCCAGGGGAATTGTCACGCAAATTTCAGAAGTCCCTTTGGTTGTAAGGGTTCCTTTCTTTGTAAGTCACACTGCTACAGAAAGTAGCCGACTCCTTCTGCCAGGGTCGATCTTTCTAAGAGCCAGATCAAAAACCAAAAAATTTAGTATTGCTGCTACATGTGGGCTGGCGCTACACGATCTTCAATAGCCAGTTCAAAACGGTTTACGCGATCTTGTGGGTTATGAATTGTTTTCCTACTACAACCTCTTTCTCAAGGGCGAAATGTTGCTAGCCCCTCGCTGGTTTGTCTTTATGGGTGTATGTGTACAAATGAGTTAACTAATTCCTCGTAGTTAGACAGTATATGTATGGAGGGGGAATATACGCACGCATATATACATGCATGCTGACAGAAACACACAAAAATGGAAACAGATCCAAGAACACATAGGGGTCAGTAAAACATTAAAATATAAAATGCCGATAAGTAATTCGTCATTTCTCTTGGACCAACCTTAATTGTTTTATGACCCTTCGCGCAGAACTCTTCATTGCCAATTCAAGAAAGACATTCGTATTACTAACACAGAAACAGAGAATGTCTCATATCGAGAATATTTAACATTGAAAAACATAAGGAAAAAATAAATTATTTTTAATATGTGGAAATCTCCGCCTTTTACCTGATGACGGTCACGAGACCAGAAACACGTGTAGTAAAATTATGGAAAATAAAGAATAATATTTTTTTCTAAAATAAAATCCACATTACAACCTAAACCGTTTGCGGCACCTCTCTTCTCTTCTTTTTAATATACACACTTTTCTCTCGTTGGAACCTCTTTCTCTATATATATATATATATATATATATATATATATATATATATATATAGATATATAGAGAGAGAGAGAGGAGAGAGAGAGATAGATAGATAGAATAGATAGATAGATAGATAGACAGACAGACAGACAGATAGACAGATAAACAGATTTAGATAGATAGATAGATAGATAGATAGATAGATAGATAGATAGATAGATAGATAGATAGATAGATAGATAGATAGATAGATAGATAGGCAGAAAACAGATTTAGATAGATAGATAGATAGATAGATAGATAGATAGATAGATAGATAGATAGATAGATAGATAGATAAGAACAGACTGAATTGAATACTTAGTAGTATTTTTTCTCATATTCTATAACAATCCGTAACCTCTTGTGTTCTAATGGTATTATTGCCTTACTTGGGGTTAAATGATTTAAAAACATATGAACAGACTGAAATAGATATTACCAATAATTTCTGTGGGAAATTTTGAGCGGACACAGAATTCGCCGTAAGCTAATCTTCACATTTACACGAGGATTATTGACAGCGTTGCAATGACTGCAGAAAATGGACATATTGTTTAGTTTGTAAGTATGAGGAGAAATTGCGTAAAAATAAGTAGTCAAGCATATTGTCGTATTGAAGCCTTCCACATCAGCTCAACCTGACATCAAATTCGACCTTCGACATCGAGAAGGACAGACATTTTTGTGGGGCGTCTGAGAACGTTCCAAGTATTTCTCGGATAAATTAATACTATTAGGTTTTTCGGAAAATATGTGTCCGATTTTAGAATAAATCTTTTAATTGTGTTCTATATTATTACAATAGTTGCACCAAAATATATTCACTCAGTTATGTGCCATGCATGATAAACGCTTAGGCGATCATGTATCTTTCGATACATGACTGACGAGGCCATAAGTTGCCATTTCTTTCTGCGGTCGACTAGTTGCCATCTATGGCTATAGAACCCGATCTGTCCTGCTATTTACCCAGAGCTGGTGACGGAAGAGGATTCATACCTTACCCAAGCACGTAAGTAAATGTAATGTATTCGACTGGAATTCGAACTCAGCTCTCCGATTTCTCTATCCGAGCCGCTATCCATTACTCCACTGTGCCTCCTCTTATCCTATATGTTTGATCTATTATAGGTGCTGATGATTTTATTACCTTGTAGTAAGTTGCCATTTCTTTCTGCGGTAGACCACTTGCCACCAAAGGCTATAGAACCAGATCTGTATTGCTATTTACCCATAGTAATTCAGTCTGTTCTCATCTATCTATCTAATTCGGTTCATTATCTATATATCTATGTTCCTTATCTATCTATCTATCTATTAGCTGGTGGGAGAAGAAAAGGATTCATACCTTTCCGAAGGGTATTAGTACGTAAGTGAATGTAATGGATTCGACTGGAATTCGAACTCGGCTCTCCAATTCCTCAATCCGAGTTGCTATCCATTACTCCACTATGCCTCCTCCAAAAATATATTACTCTTTCCTAATGATTAAAGTGCCATCTTTGTTAATTTTACATCAATATCATCTGGAATTTAACTTAAAACATTATTTACCTTTCATTTTGAACAAGCAAAAATAAGAAGAGATGTGTTTACTTCTTTTGGATGAGTCCAAACTTGATCATAATTCTTCGAAAACTGCTGCCAACATTAGCGGAGTATAGAGCGAAAGATCCACTTGTGATCGAAGAGTACGGGGCTGTCTTCTGAAATGTTGCAGTGGAGAGACGAGTCTTGAAGATCCAGGTGATAAAAAGCATCGATCTGCATTTGACAATCAAAATCTGAAAACACCAGTCGAAATAAAACCCAAGTGTCAGAAACAAATTTTGATCCCAAAGTCATTCCGTTGCAAAGAAGATTCAGAAACTGCATTCAAAGATTTCTTAGCGTCCAAACCTTTAGAGTTTTATCATGAAGGGATAAATAACTTTATATAATAGATAGATAGATAGATAGATAGATAGATAGATAGATAGATAATGAACAAAATTAGATAGTATTAAACAACATTTACCGGCCTGAATGTCCGCTAAACTTTCATAGGACGAATATTTTCTATGAAAATTTCTCAGACATCCAGACCATCTATAAAAAGAATGTACAAACATAAAGTGTCTTAAAATAATTGTTTAATATAAACATTTTATTTATATATATATATATATATATATATAAATATATATATATATAAATATATATATATATATATATATAATTGTATATATATTTATATATATTATATATATATATATATATATATATATATATATATATATATATATATATATATATATATATATATATATAAACGGTTAATGGTCATAGTTGAATCAGACCAGGAACCAGTGGTATAAAAAAAATTAACTTAATTCACGTGTAAAAAAAAAAAATAAAATAAAAAACATGTAAAGCTTTTAACTTTAAAATTTAAGAGATTAGTTAGATTCCGATCCCTTGATTTCAACTTTACGGTATCCTCAGGGGATTTTACATTTGATAAAATTTGCCCGATGATACCGTAAGGTTGAAAACACGGTAGCGGATTCAACTAATCTTCTGATTTTTAAAGTATATATATATATATATATATATATATATATATATATATATATATATATATGAAAAAAAAAGTGACAAGGGACGAAAATCTATACACTCCATCCGGAAACACACACACACACACATACATATATATATATATATATATATATATATATATATATATATATAACCACCATGAATAGACAAAAATTAATTTTATTATTACTACACTTTTTCATGGGTGATAATAATAGAATTAATTTTTGTATATTCATGGCAGTTATAAAGTTTTATACCACTAAACATATCTTTACACACACACACATACACACACACACACACACACACATATATATATATATATATATATATATATATATATATATATATATATATATATATATATAATATTAGTGGTAAATATACACGTACATATGCAATCATATATCTAAAATTGAATTTGTGGATCTGATGAATTGGATCGTATTTACGATTCCAATGGAATAAATTATGACCATGGAATATTAGTGTTTAAAGCCTCATTATTATATATATATATATATATATATATATATATATATATATATATATATATATATATATATACAGTTATATACAAGTGAATTAATATATTCCATTGCTTCTCAGCAATTTGGCTCGTGCAGGTAAGTTATTGATTTGACGATGAATTTAGCCAATTTTAATTTTTTTATAGCAGATAATTAATTTAATTGTTTTTGTTGCCTTCAGTTGTTTCTTTATAATGTTTCTCACAAAAGATTCGTCCCGCTTTTGGTTACAGTGCTTTTGAATTTATAGAAAATGTTAATGTTATTTTTTTTTATCTATATGTTCACTGTTGCTCTTGGTTACTGTGTTTCTGATCAAACCTAATTTATAAATAATTAAACTGGATATACTACAACATGCTTAACAACACTGACCGTTACTCAATTTGGTCTCATTTGAATACACACGGTGGCCTATCAAACTCCATCTGTATCATCTATATCTAATAAAACAGATATCTGTGTGTGTGTGTCTGTATGTATGCTATTGATGCACTTCCACATTTCTCGACCGATTGCGATGAAACTGTACATACATGTTGCAAATTTGCTAAAGGAGGTTAACACCAACGTTTCAATCTCCAGACCCCCACGCCGGGTTTGGCTGAAAAATCGATAAAACTGAAGCTGGGTACGACTTTTTTGTAAAAACCAATGCAAAGTTATACGCGAAAAAAACTTTTACTGGATGAGCTGATGCTCATTGCACTTAAATTTAAAACATAGTTCATGTTATGACGTTTATTTAGAGCGCTTGATAGCTTTCCTGCAACATTGGCTTCACACAAAAATTGCCAAAAATCTGTGAAAAAAATCGTGTTTTTCGTACTACTTAAAATAAAAACTTGCATAACTTCCTCATTTTTTATCCGATTTTCTTCAAAAATATCGCAAAAAATTTGCTATCATGCAAAAAATAATATAGCATTGTTTAGTCCTGCCCGCTTCTTGCCGGATAACGAAAAACCACGAACAACTATTCTAAAATCCAAATTATCGGCCATAACTCGTTGGTTTTTCATCCGATGCTTTCCAAATTTGCCATGTAAATTACATGTGATACACAACCTGTTTTGCATGAGTGTTTGGTTTAGATTATTTCAGTTAAGTGGACGAAATCTGCGACAAACTAAGTCTCATATCGTCTTTGCCATTTAGACAGTAGTTTTTTTTTTTCATATGATTCTATCCTAAATGGGCATTCGAAAAACTTTTGATGTAAAGATTGTTTAAGAGGTATTATTGAAACGTTAAATTTTCCGAATAACCTCTTATTAACCCCCATCTTTACAGTAAATGTGGGAAGAAGAAGGAGGGCGTTCATGCGTTTTCACTTGCAGTTGAATCAATCTCTGACGCTTCGTCCCTGTTTTTGTTTCATTATTAAATTTGTGAATAACGCTATACTATTTGAAAGTTATTACGGCCATAGGAAATTCACTGAATATCTAAAACATTGAAACAATTTCACCCCGAGCAACGACTAAACAAGGTTTTATCGATGGAATTCGTTTATTAAGAACAATAAAACACTTGCGAAGGATATACCATAAAAAACATTGAGTGGGGAAGTAGCTTACTATACTAAGGGATGATGTTTGCAAGCAGTGATGCAGGCAGACATTTCTAGACAGGGGATGCAGGTATACAGGGGGCGCAGTAATACAATTGCATCCATGTACATCCGGGCAACGCCGGGTACCTCGGCTAATTGATAATACAAATATAATAGCGTCATCCACATGTAAAAAAAACAGGCTAAAAATAATGGAGATGTATTATTGATAAAAACAAATAGCCAACACTCAATAACATAAAATCTGAACACGGCCAAAATGTGCTGACCGTGTTTGTAAAATAAAACATTCCTATAACTGTAGATACATAAAAAAATCCTTACAATCAGTTAAAAGTAAACAACAAAACTATCCTTGATAATGTCTAAAAGAATAGCCGAAAGCGATCGGATTTACAGAACATTCGGACAATTTCTACATAATTCGTGTTCAGAAAAAAAGATATGAGAACACAAGAAAAAATTAATAAAATAGTCATTTTTAGCGAAAGTTACACACACACACACACACACACACACACACACACATATACTATTTACATTATTCGGACTATTGTCCTTATCTTTGTCGCCATATTTATTATAACGTTTCGGCTGTTGTACGCTCCGGCCTTCTTCAGGTGGTTGGAATGTCGAACTGAACCCTTTATTTCGCTCACTGGTGTATAGTATTCTAGTTCCACGTGCCATGTTTTAATGCATATCAGTTTTCAGTTATCTCCTGTTCATTCCCCTCTCCAAGTTCTCCACCGCCTTAACCGGGTATTGAACTCACACTCTTTGGGTCCTGTCATTGGATCTAACCAACGCCTTTATCCACTGTGGCATGTGTCCTTGACGGCCAAAACATTGTAATAAATATGGCGACAAAGATGAGGACAATAGTCCGAATAATGTAAATAGTGTACATAATACCGCATCTCAGAAATACGCACACACACACACACACACACACACACACACACACACATATATATATATATATATATATATATATATATATATATATTATTTAATTGAAATATAATTCCAATTAAATAGAGGTTGTCTTTTATTTTGTAATACAGTTTTCAACATATTACTGCGAGAGTCATATATTAACATTAATGATTGCCACGTTTTTAATAAGATCCGAATATATATATATATATATGTGTGTGTGTGTGTGTGTGTGTGTGTGTGTGTGTGTGTGTGTGTGTGTATGCGCGCACACACGGTCTTATTATTTTTAAGCTTCATATCTGAAGAGTTTTCAATTTTTATTATAGGTTTTATTTACTTGGAAATTAACAAGCTTCCCTTAAGTTTATGTCAACAGAAAAGAATCTGCAAATTTGGACATCCCCGGCTAAACTGGGACATCCCCGGCTAAACTGGGACATCCCCGGTAAACTGAGATATCCCCGGTGAAACCGGAACACTTGGTAAAGCCTACATAAAGTGAATTTTCGGAAAATGGAAGATATACTTGTATATATTTTAGCTCCAATTTGTTTTTAAATACAAAGTTTTTGAGGTGGTGGAAAAATACTTCAGCGCGATTATAATATAATTGACAACTGGGATTATTTCCGGTCTTTTGTTTTACCTGCCGTGTCCATTCAGGACGTAGGCGATTATGGTTCTCCACATCTTCCTGTCCCTTGTAGCACTTAATATGTTTTGTCTTTTTGTTATTTCTCCGAAACACCAAGTATGTTACACACAGCTTTCCTCTGTCCCTCTTTCCCTCAATCTGTCCTGTGAGTATCAAATTTTCTAAGCCCTCCTTCCTCATGACGTGCCCCAGAAATTTCATCTGTTACTTCCTTGGGTTAAGTATATGTTTCTTCTTTATCTGTCTATATTTCTGAGATGAGGTATTATGTACACTATTTACATTATTCGGACTATTGTCTTCATCTTTGTCGCCATATTTATTACAACGTTTCGGCCGTTGTACACTCCGGCCTTATCAGGTGGTTGGAATGTCGAACTGAACCCTTTATTTCGCTCACTGGGGTAGACTGTTCTAATTCCACGTGCCATGTTTAATGGATGTGAGATAACTCCTGTGAATTCCCCTCTCTAAGTTCTCCACTGCCTTAACCGGGTATTGAACGCACACTCTTTGGGTCCAGTCACTGGATCTAACTAACGCCTTTATCCACTGTGCCATGAGGAAGTTTATTTTTGTTTCCTCCAAAACCTCGAAGTTGCTCACATGTTCGGCCCATTGTATCTTTAGCATCTTTCTGTAGAACCACTTTTCCGTTGTTTCATGTCTCTTCTTCATCTTTGAGGAAATTGTCTAGGATCCTCTGCCAGACAGAAGGACTAATATCACGTAACAGTTCAGTACTCTTTTCTTTCTTTTTTTTCTAACAATTTTTTTCTCTTAATACTGTTAACTTTTGGAATGCATCTTTGACCATCCCAATACGTCTTCGGATCTCAGTGTCACACTTGCCGTCCTCTGTTAGAACACTTCCCAGATATTTACATTGCATATCACATAAAAGTCCAGGGCCCTTGTCTTTGTTTCTAACGAATGTTTTCTGTCTCTTAATATTCTGCTTAGCTTTTGGAAGGCATCTTTGGCCATCACAATACGTCTTCGGATCTCAGTGTTGCTCTTTTCGTCCTCTGTTAGAACACTCCCCAGATATTTAAATTCCTGTACTTGATGGATTTTACTATCCCCGATCTGTAATTTGCATTTTGAACTCACCCCTTTTGCTGATAACCATGCATTCTGTCTTCTTGTTGTTTATGTTTCGTTCTTTCTTTCTGCTCTTCCTGCTGTAGGAGATTTTTTAGTTTCCTTTCCGTATTTACATTCGTGTCATTTGTATATCTTATATTGTTAAGATTGTGGCCGCTAATAATGAATCCTGGTAGGACTTCTAATTCTCTCAGAATTGCCTGGCTGTATAATTTGAATAAATCTGGTGAGAAAACACATCCTTGTCATACACTCCTTTCTATTTTTGTATATCTGTCGAGTTTATATTCTGTCCCTTCACAGGCGGTTTTTTGCCAGTATAGATTCTTGACTATAAACCGAATAAACATCGATCTTAGTCAATACCTAGACGGTGACTGGGTGATATTAGGTTGGATGTGCGGATGGTGTAATGGATAACGGCTCGGAATGAAAAATCGGAGAGCCTCGTTCAAATTCCAGTCGAGTTAGTTACATTCACGCGCAAATAACCTTAGACGGAATCTGGAGAAGACCCATGCCCCAAAAAGTTGCAGATGTTAACAACTGGTATTATTTGGGACGCATAATGAGGAAACAAGGCTTGGAGAATTAAACACTCACATTTCTCAAAGAGGCAGGAGAAACAGCAAAAAAGTTTGATTAAGGGTAAATGAAGATAAAAAAAAGTGTCGCAAATGAGCGAGAACTACTTAGAACAAAAAAAGCAGGAAGCTGCGGAGAGTCGTGATCTTTCACATGCTGAAGCTACATGGTACGAGCGATAAACAGTGAAAGCGGTTGTTGGTACTTATTTGAGAGGCGTATATTGGGGTGCATAATGAGGAAACAAGGCTTAAAGAATTAAACACTCACAGTTCTGAAAGAAGCCGGGGAAACAGCAGAAAAGTTTGATTAAGGGTAAATGAAGACAAAAAAAGTGTCGCAAATGAGCGAGAGCTACTTAGAACAAAAAGCAGGAAGCTGTGGAGTGTCGTGATCTTTCACATGCTGAAGCTACATGGTACGAGCGATAGACAGTGAAAGCGGGTATTAGTACTTATTTGGAGGGGCGTATATATCCCTTTAGGATTGAAAGAGTTTAAAGTAACATTTCCTGTTGCGTTACTCTTGATTTGAATTGTAGCGATATTCATTCTTTTCGCTCATCTGAAGTCATTTCAGTTTCTGATTTCAAATCCAATCGCTAACCCGCATTCCGCCGGTCGTCTAAACATGAAAGAAATACTTAACTCGTGTCTAAAGCGCTGGTTCCACTATCCAAATGGGGTGGAGAAAGGAACCAACCGGTAACCCTAATATCCGTTTTTATATGTCCGTTAATTGAACGGGTCAAGTGGTCGGCAAGGTTAAGACGTGATAGGTCGAACTTTTTAATCGATCCAACTGCTTATATTGGGCGAATTACAAGCTCTGGATAAATAAAGTCTCCGGTTTACGAACAGGAAATGACAGTGGCGCGTTCGTATCTATACGTAGCCGACAGGGAAAGGAACAAGGCTGTTGTAAAAACTTGATATCATAAGTTTAATAACCTCGGTAAGAAATCGATCCAATTACAGCAAGGAAACCCTTCCCTGTTCCGGATACAACGCGTCAGGCAAATAAACTGAAACGTATCGTACACATATCGATTTCTGATTGGATGAATAAAAGCGTCGGAATGAGACAGTTACTGTCTGAATTTCTGGGGTGAGGACTTAACATTATTTACATTATTCACTGTCAGACTAAGGTCCTCGTCTTTATTGATATCTCCTCAGCGTTTCGGCCGCTGTGCTCGCCTGCCATTTTTCGGGTGTCTGTCAATCCGAGTAACGTTCAAGGAATTTTGAGCCGAAAATTTTATTCAATCTACGGTGGGGTTGGGGAGATTGTTCGCTTTCCGATGGTCCATGCCTAGTTTAACGTCCTAATAAATTGTTTCTACTTCTGTTGAGTCTTGGTCTATACGCACTATCCTGCCTAAGGATTTCTTATACAGTAATGCTCAAATATTCTTACCTTTTCCAAGGGTATTAGTGCTAGTTTGAGAGCAACAGACTAACACCAAAATTGAATTCGGCTCGCCAATTACACTTTTAACTCTGATATCACTTAAACTAACCTCACATCCTAACTACTAATTATACGTGGTAGTTACGAATAAATTTGGAGTACATTAACATACCTTGTTTTTTGCACGGCAATGGCAGTGTACACAGTGGATTAAAGAATAACACTTTGAGAAAAAGAAAAGTAGTGTTTTTTATCATTTCACCCCAAGCAAGGCAATAAAGCCACTAAGATGAAAGGGTATGTGAAATAATATAAGAAAAAGAAAAAAACATTATTAAGGAGCGAGAACAATATAAAACAGGAATTATACAGACAAAAGATAACGATTGGTATTGCATTTTAATTTTTTAAGATCAAAGTTGAATTGAAAGCAAGAAGCCGGAAGACTATCTCACAAGCAGGAAGTGCTAGAAAAGAAACTGTTAGCATAAAACATACGGTCATATCTCGCCATTTCAACGATAAAATAATTAAACTTTGCCGTAAGTTTAGTACTGTGCTTAAATTCATAAAGTCTACATACCATAGAGGAAAGTAATATTTATTTTGCGTAAAATACAAAAATGTGGCACAAGGCTAAAATGGGAAGTTGTGGAGACTCGTCTTCAATCTATCTTATCTTGAACCTAGCTGGCTACAATCACTAACCCAAACTACAATATTCCTTGCACCAAAACAATACATTCTTACTTACCCATTATTACTAAAACCACCACAATACTTTAGAGTCATAGACGAAATTCTTCAAAAAAAAGTAGCATGAAAGTATTTATAGAAAAAGCACAGGGAAGGTACGTTATGGTAGGAAAGCCGAGATGTCGAGTCAGGATCAATAACATTGCAGATTCTTCTTTGGATTTTATCAAGGCTCTTTAAATATGTAGCAGATGCACTAGACCATATGCGGCAGCAATATTCAAAGTATGGACTAACGGTAGACTCATAAATAGAAAGAAATATTGTCCTAGTGGCTTTATTGCCTTACTTTGGGTGAAATTCAAAGATTTTTTGGCCTCAAAACTTAGATAGATAGATAGATAGATAGATAGATAGATAGATAGATAGATAGATATAATCAGTAGAGCCATAGAAATCAAAAAGGCATTTTCACGGCCTAAGCTGTAAAAATGCAAGCATTTTAACTGTCATATTAATATCAACCAGCCGTGGCATAGAGAATTCCTTACATAAGAAAAATGTACCTAACACTTTTCGTTCGTTAGATCGGTTGATAGTCATTGTTTAAAATAAAATATATGTCTACTGAAGCATGTTTACCCACTAAAATTAAAGTTGGTCGTTATAATATATATATGATGCTAGGACAAGATCAACGACAATGCAGATTATCTCTTTGGATTTTATCAAGAATCTTTAAATATGTAGCAAGGGCAGCGGACCATATGTGGCAGCAATATTCGAAGTATGGACGAATGGTAGACTTATAAACATGTAAGATACATTCAGTCGAGAAAAATTGTCTTGCACGACCCATAAACCAACTTTCTTAGCAGCTGACCCAGCATAGTCATAACTCACCGGCAATATGAAATTAGTTTTCAAGGTTTCGTTCTGAATAAATATTGTAGGAAGATGAACGATCACCTGGACGTTGATCAGTCTTTAATGGTGAAGCCCTAAAGTCATTAGAGGAAAGCAATTCCCGACGAAGTACTCTGAAATTAACAAAAAATGTCAAACACATCACAGTGCGACACAGTTGTTGTTAAACGGTGTGGTGCGTCTCATAGGTGCAGCGGAAGAGGATAGCAGGTGAGGCGGAAAGATTAAAAGATAATCAAAGATTTAGAAACAGTTTCAAAAGAATCATATGCCAAAAATAAATATTATTTCAAAATTTAAAATATTATTATGGATTACTTGTAATAGCATGCATGAGTCCTAGTATGAATAATTATAAATTATTATTGACCGATTTTATCATTGTGATGTTTTTGCATTATATCAAATATTAAGAATATAGTAACTAGGGTTCGCAAATTGTAGGAGAGAGTTATCAATGATAATGTTCTGACTTCAAATACGCGGTTATCTCTCTCTCTCTCTCTCTCTCTCTCTCTCTCTCTGTGTGTGTGTGTGTGTGTGTGTGTGTGTGTGTGTGTGTGTGTGTGTGTGTGTGGACCTTCTTTGTCGTAAGACTTTTCAATTTTTCAGTTCTGGATTTTCGGTTCTGACATATATCAAAAAACAAAAAAGGGAAAGGCGTCTTTGTGTTGATTAGGAAACGAGAGTTTTCTCTTAAATTAGGCCTAATATAAAGGAGATTACTCATCAAAAACAAGCTCATACCTTTTGTTATGGTGTAGATAACACGCCCCGGTAACAAAAATGGACTAGGCAAGATGCCTTAAATAAAGAATTCCAAGTGAGCCTGGGTAGTCCGTTGGAGTCAGGCAGTCCGCTGTGTGGCTCGCGACAAAACAAGACAAGACCTCTGTCTTCGGGGAGAGGGTGTGTTATGGTGAAACACACCTATTCTATAGTTAATAGACTCTCCCACCTAACATAAGTAGGAGTAGTAAGAGAAACGAAGGTCAGTCGATGTCGGACGACAGTAGGCGACAGTTAGTAGAATACGAAAGTAGCCAGCGACCACAACAAGATTACTCTGCGTAATACCTATTATATCAAGTTCCTAACGTTTTGTACGTCGAAATATTTTAGGACCGATTTAGTGCAAATACAAGCCTCCACTGCAAAATAACTCCACAAGGCCTCCGTATTCGGGCGGAGAATGACTCATTTGGGCTCTGTCTTCGGATATAGACTCAGCTGAGAAAAACAGACCAGTTCTGTACGCGAGCCGGCTTTTGCGGCGGCTGGCTAAATTTTGACCAGTGTACCGGGTGGAAATGCTGGAATTCCCCACAGTAAACTTGATCTTATGTTGCATCTAGTCCGCAGTGGGGTGACCAGTCCATTGGATTCAGTCAGGATAAATTCTAACAGACGTCACGGTGGGTAGCCTAAGCAAGACATGATATTATAGCTGCAAGGAGTGAGTCATAAAAGTGGTGACGAGGAGAAAAGTACTTTTTTTTGTTTGCTTTGGTGTACATGACAACAGTGACGAAGATGGCTTAATATTTCCTCTTTGATGTGTGCAAAAAAGAAAAGAAATAGAAAAAAAAAACATTCTTCTGGAAGAATTATGAGCCCAAATGGTAAAAATACAACAGCAGTTATTGGTACTTCAGAAACAAAAACAAAATTTAATCGAAATAATTCGGAAGAAAAAGGGAAAATTCCCCAAATCCTTTCACTCCTAACCTGGTGGCAAATACCATATCTGATTTCACATACAATTCAGATGATGGAATTGACTCTTCTGTTTATTTTAGAAGATACGATCAAATTATCAGAGAAGGATGCAGTGAGTGGAACGACGACTTTTTTTGAGAAAGTTAGCACCAGTAGAACATGAGAAATACTGAAATTTTGTACTAGCGAAAAAAATAGGAAAAATTTGCTTTGAAAAAACAGTAAATATTCTAATATTTTTAGCGGGAAAAACTCGTTATTCAATGCACGTTGGAAATGTATGACTATGGCGAAAAAGAAGAACATTTTATCACATAGGCTGTAATCGTTAAAAAGCAATTTGAAAGATTCAAATTGAACGAACTGGCTCAGAATATGTTTAAAGTGTTAATTTTCGTTCAAGGGTTAACGACAAAAAAGACGCAGAAATACGTGCAAGAGTTCTAACGAAACTTGAACAGAATTAAAAACTAACACGACACGAAATATCGGACGAATATCAGAGAATCATAAATCTGAGACGTGATACCAAAGAACTGGAAGAAAACAAACGTGTATTCATAGAAGATAAAGAAAAAATGAAAAATTAATCCATATTTCAGATGTGGAAGCTTTTATCTCGAAATCGGCAGTCCCTTTAAGAATCCAAAGTCACACTGTAAAACTAATGCAATCAGAAGTCTCACAGTAAAAATCCGTACACAGCTTAAGAGCGGAAAAATAATTACTTAAAACCAAAGAAAATTTGTGTATGTTAAAATTAATAATCTGAATGTAAAAATGCAACTAAACACTGGTAGTGATATCAGAATAATCAACAAAACTACATGGAAAGTAAACGGAAAACCTATATTTAAAAAAAAACTTGGAAAATCACACATGGCGTGTCGGATAAAAAATTACTTTTATTGGCGAAATGACTCATTCAGTAACAACTGTGTAAAAGCTAAGGCTTATGTGTTAAGAAATACTACCAACTTATTCGGTACTGACTGAATGGAATTATTTGAGCTGTGGGATTTACCTATAAATATTTATTGCAGAAATATAAGTGGACAAGCGACCAGTAAAAAAAAAAGAGCAGAGTGAAAATGTAAAGGAAGAATTGAAAAAATATTTTCCGGATGTACTGTCGGATAAGTTGGGTCGGTGTGCCAAAGTCAAAGTGAAATTTCAAGTGAAAAAAAGGGTTGATGCTAGTGTTTAAACCAAAACGTAGTGTACTATTCGTAGCATTGGATTAACTCAACGAAGAATTCGACAGACTTGAAAAAATAGGCGTAACTGAAAAGTGTGACCATTCAAAATGAACAGCAACAGCATTGTATGTAAAGAAAAAAATAATAAAATTCGTGTCTCTATTGATTTTTCGAGAGGGTTAAACAAATGTTTAGAATCTCAGAACTGCCCATTACCAAGTCCAAAGGAAATTCTAGGACTAGCAAACTATTATCAAATCTATATACCTAATATGCAGAATTTGAGAGCTCCACTGAACAATTTGCTTAAAATGACGTAAAGTGGAACTAGACTAATAAGTGTTAGAGGGCGTTTGAAGAAATCAAGAAAATACGTCAGACTTATCATTAGTACACTATGATTCAAAAGTAGAAATCGAATTGACTTCAGATGCTAGTGACTATAGTATAGTAGCAGTAATTCTACACAAATATGTTGACGGTAATATAAATGCCTTCGAGGATGCTTCAGATTCGCTACTACCAGCAGAAAAAAAACTTCAGCCAGATTGAAAAAGAGACATTAGCAATAATATTTGCAGTGAAAAAAATATCACAAATTAATACACGAAAGGAGTTTTTAGTTTACAGACAGGCCACCGACCTTTATTATCAATTTATGGTTTGTAAAAAGGAATTCCTAAGCATACAGGGAATAGATTACAACGCTGGGTGCCATATTATTAAATTACGATTTCAGAACGGAACACCAACCGTCCAAAATTAGAACAGGCTGATGGTTTATTAAGATTGATGCCAAAAAGTACTGAACCATTTGAGGACATTGTTATTGCAGTATTAAAAAGTAAAATAGAAATTTAAAATATATTATGCAATGTGGTACGCGGCCTACCAGTTACCTGGAGGAAATAAAAGTAAAAGCAGAATAAGACATGTTTATTTCGAAAATAAAAATAACAACTAAAAGAAAACAAGAAAGGCGATTTTTAGAACATGATCCAGATTTGAACGCTTCTTCGCTATGTGACGGAGTACGGATGTTTGCACAAAGAGTAGTAATACCTATCATATTAGAAAAGTGGAAATTAAATATCATAGTGTACATCCGGGAATTTTAAGGCTGAAATCTCTTATGAGAAGCTATGTATACTGGTCCAAAATGGATCAAAACATTGAAAAAAGCCTGCAGAGGTTGTGCTCTGGCAGTAAATTCACCTATCACGAAATTACAACCTTGACCAAAGTTAGATACACAGGTCCAGTAAACAGATCACATTATCTTGTGGTTGTGGATAGCTTTACTAAGTGGTCTGAAATGTGTAAGTGAAAAAGGTTTGCGATAAGACAAGTCAAGACCAGACCAGGCAGGGTGACAAGATCTCCATCTTCAGACGGAGGATGACTCAGTCGGGCTCTATCTTCGGAGAGAGACTCGGCTGAGAAAAACAGACCAGTTCTGTATCCCAGCCAGATTTTGCTTGGCCTGAACAATTTTTGACCAGTGACCCGGGTGGAAACGCTCGGGTTGCCCATAGTAAACTTGATCTTGTATCGCATGTACTTCGTAATGGGGCGACCGGTAAATATCAGTCGCAGTCAGCCAAAGC